ACAGAATACTTACACTATAATTCTATTCACAAAAAGCTGTAAATGTAGGGCTAAGGATATGGCTCAGTGGCAGCATATTTGCCTAGCGTGAGCGAGGTCTTGGATTCAATCCCCAGCATCACAAAAACGGGACAAATGTATAAAAAATATTGTTTAGAGATATGCACATATTTAGTAAAAGTATAAAGAAAAGCAAGAGAATGGTTCACATAAAATTCAAGAAAGTGATTACCTCTGAGAGAGAAGGAAGGAGAAAAACTCAGTCAGGCATGGCCTCCCAAGATGCTTTAAAAGTACTAGAAATTTCCTTTTCATTAAGTCAAATAGCGAGTACACAGGTGTTCAACTTGTTATTTTTTTTTTGGTACCAGGGATCGAACTCAGGACCTTGCACTTACAAGCCAGGCGCGGTTCCACTGAGCTAAATCTCTCACCCCCAACTTGTTATTCTTACTCTGTGGATTCAGAACTTTTATACACATGATTTCATAATTTAATCATATATAAACAGGACTAAAGAATTAGAATTCTGGAGCTATAACCCAGATGCTTCCACTTATTGACTATGTAACCTTTTTTTTTTTTTAATTTGAGAAGCACTTTCACTGACTTAATATTTCCCTTTTTTTAGTAGTATCTATTTGCAATATATAATAAATATATTCACATTGGGAAATTGGTACAGGTACATATCACATTCTGATCCTTTTTACTTCCCTTCTCCTCTCCCTCCTCCCATCTCCATGGCTATGCAACCTTAAGTCATTTAACCTCTGACAGTAGAGTTTTTCTTGTTTTATATATGAGAAAGCTAACAGCTAACATGTGTTTAATACTTTACTTGTCATTTAAAGACTTGTTTAAAGCACTTGAACAACCAGGCAAGGTGGCATATCCTGTAATACCAAAACTGGGAGAGACAAGGCAGAAGGACTGCAAATTCAAGCCCCATCTGGACAATTTAATGACTTAGCAAGACCTTATCTCAGAATTAAAAAAAAAAAAATTCAAAGGGCTATGAATGTAGCTCAGTGTGAAGGTTCTAGGTTCAATCCTGGGAATAAGTAAATAAATAAATATGTCCTACAGTACAAACATGCAAAGTGAAGATAATATGTCATTGATACAAAATAAAAGTACTTCTTTAATAACTAACAGAAAGAAAATAACTAACAGAATATCATAATACTAAGAACTCATTGGTAGGGTATACAAGGCTATTCACCATTCTAACTTCATCTATTTCTCCAATAATAATGGCAGCTAGGGCCAGGGATTTAGCTCAGTGGTTCCAGTGCCTGCCTCCCAAACGCAAGGTCCTGAGTTCGATCCCCGATACCAAAAAATAATAATAATAATAATAATAATGGCAACTAATATTGTTTTAATGTGCATTATGTAACACACTGTGTTAAATGTTTTGTTGGATTATTTTATTTAATCCTCAAAACAACTCTATGAGATAGTTCTATTATCCCCACTTTACAGATGTGCTCATTGTGCCCAAGCTCACACAGCTCAGACACAGTAGTGGACAGACTTCAGGACACATACTCTTAACCACCAAATTCATTTCACCTCACTCCTTTCCCTATATTTAAGTTGTTTCTCCCATGACACTGAAAGTTCCTTGACAACTGCTTCTTGTTCATTTTCATTCCCTCTGGCACTTAGCAAACAATAAATAAATAGTGAGTAGATATTTCATATGTACAGTGTTTTCAGGATATAAAGTGATTTCAGGACATGAACTAATTTGCTCCCCTGGACAACTCTGTGAAGTATAAATGTTTTTTAATTTATTTTAACCATATTACAGTGAACAACCAAGGGCACTGAGAACATTCAATGTTGTACAATCACTACCACTAAGTATGAAAGATTTTTAATGACTTTGCTGAAATCATTTAGCCTTTAAGTGGTGGAACTGAGATTTGAAGCCAGATCCCTTGACTTGTAAATCCATGTGGCTCTTCATTCCACTGAGGCTTCTGTCTACCAGTACCTCCACCTGCTCTTCTCTTTTTCACCACTGTCTGGAGAATCAAATGAGGGAAAGATACTAAAACACCTCATACATATTACTCCTACACAGGTGACCCTAGCTGTTGGCCACACACACACACACACACACACACACACACACACACACACACACACACACACTTCTAGGCAGGGGCTTTCAGAAGCTAGGGCTTTAATATAAACATCCCACCTCAAAACCATGGCTGCAGATCCATAAAAGCAATGTCTGTACCCCAGAATAGTTATGAGGAGAAATGCTTGCATTAGTCAGATAATACTCTCACCAAGGCACAGATAACCGCTCAAACCTAATTTTTATTACAATAAAAAACTCCCACCCCCAAAAAACACTTTCTTTTTTTTTGGTACCAGGGATTGAACTCAGGTCCTTGCACTTGAGCAGCAGGTGGCGAAACCACTGAGCATTTAAATCCCTGGCCCAAAACACTTTCAATTCCAAGGATAAATCCAATCTTCCATAATTTTGTTTATTCTGGAATACAAAAAATAAGATTCTAAATGCATATTTTAATGTACTCAATGATGAAAGCCAAGGAAAATGGTTTTTTGAGCTGAACTCTTGAGGCTTTAACAAAAATAAAACGAATTATTTCAATTCTATTGATGCCAATTTTATCCTCTTTACATCTCTCATTTTTTCTGAGCTCTAATCATCAGCCACTTCATGTTTAACATATCATAGTTAATGCAATTAAGTTCACAAAATTGTTTCCCTGAAGCTGTTCTTCCATTTACACTCCTCTCTACTTTCCAACATAAGCATTCTGCCATAAGAATGTGCATCTCTCCAAGCTTCAAATCAAATCTGTGATGAATGGATGCAGACATTGTTTCTGTAGTTAATACAATGTGCCTACATCACATCCCCTAAAAAAATAAAAATGACTCTATATACTTCATTTATTCACATTTGACAGAATTCTGATCGCTTGAATTCCTTTAGGAGAAAATTCAATCTATAGAAATAGTCCAATTATTTTAAATCTTATCAAGCAATGTCAAAAGAGAATCAAATGAAAAACTCCATCAGGACCAAACCATCTCACAAATGAATATTTATGACATTTCCATATCTCCTGTCTTCTCTCTGTTTACATAAAGCAGTGGTGCCAAGACTCATCACAGGATTATTAGCCTGCAATATAACTTTGGGCCTAATTGCCTTGCAAACCAGGACACCAATAAATGGAGTCTTCAAGCAATCAATGGGAAGGGGGTGCCTAAGCTCTTTCTGCATACATGCACATTACCTGCCTAGAAAATAAGCCAACCCCATATTTTTCAATCTCATTCATCAGTTCTAAGGCAAAAAATGCACACTTAACAACCTCAAGCTCATCAAATCTATTTAAATTCCAAATTCCAGGACTAGTTTTAAATGCATCAGGGGAAGGAGGAAAGGAAGAGGCAGAAATAAGATACAGAAAGATACCTATTACGTTCCACTTTCATCTTCCCCCACCTTTGCGAGTGGATCCTCCCCAATTTTCTCTTTATGATATATAAATAATAGAACACATCCTCCCCTCCTTAATTCTACCTTCACTGAAGCCCTCCTCAACTTTACCCTTTGGGCTAACTTTACTTCTGATTAATACTAATATAAATAAAATAAACAAAAAGGTCAAACTGACAACTTAAGATGTCCTCTAGGAGAGTCTTTAATGTTTGTTCTGTCCCTGACAAGGTACCCTCTAACAACCTTGTGATTTTTGCCCCTCCCCCAACACAGCCACCAAAGCTGTCCATTTAAGTGTCCAGCCCCTAAAGCTCTTGTATCTCTAGGAAGGCATCCCAATCCTTCCCCTCCAGAATAATCCAACCCATTCCTTCCAGCGTCACTCACTGGCCCTCTCCATCCTTTCTGCCCCATTCATACCACCAACTCCAGGTCTCTCACACCTTAAATTTCCCTTCTGCCACCTCACCATCCACAACCACCTCTCCAGTTCATCACAGATGTTCATTCTCCAAAACTGCCTCTGCCACCTTGGCCAAGGGACATATTCTTCAAGATACCATCCCCCAACCTTGCTTACCACCTGCCACTATTTTTTCCTGAGTCTAGCCTAGCATCCTCCACACTGCAACCTGGAGCCACCAATTCCCCTCCAGTGATTCTAAGATCACCCTAAATCCTATGCCACTATACCCCACCCCCAATTTTAATTCTTGTCCTACCATTTAAGGCCTACCTTCCAATTTACCCAACTCCTGCCAGCTCACCATCACACTCCCCTCTCTGAAAGCCTCACCCCTACCGCTCCTATTCCAACATCCATCAGCCCACCCCAGGAAAACCCCAAATTTCACCTCTGCTCTATCCTAAACCCGGGCTAATTCCATAAATTTCCACAAATTCCACCATCCCCAGATGACAAACGCCTACTTTAAACTCAGGTCTCAACCTATGCAGAGCTCCTCATCCCCTGCTCCTACACCTCCATTACCCTGCCTCAGGTCTACCCCAGATTCCACCGTTCTGAATTAACATTCCCCAGGGTCCTATCCAACCGTTTACATCCCACTCTGCATAGAAATCATGCCCCTAGCCCCCAACCCGGCTCAGATCTCAACCTGTCAACTGCTCTGGGCCAACCCCAAATCACCACCCTCATTCAGTCCCCTCCCCCATTAAAGTCATCCACCCTAGTCTCATCTTTCACCTCGCCCCAAGATCATCCCAAATTCCACTCCATCCCATCCACCCCACGCCCCTGCCCCAAGTCCGGTCATTCCCCCATTAAAAGCCCCCCTCCCGCGATGTCCCCCCAATCTGCTTGAGTCGTACCCTCACCCCACCCCCAGCCCGCGCCTGGACGAGTCTCCCCAGCCAGCCCGCCGTTCCATCGCGACCTCAGCCCCTTCCCCTCCAGCCCCACTCTCCTTCACCCCAGCACCGACAGCCCAGGGTCTAGAAGAGCGGGCCGGGGATGGGGGGGGGGGCTCCTCACCGGAGAACGGCTGCAAGCGAAAACGGCGGCGGTGGCGACTGAAGCAGCGATGCCCTTGTCTTCTCTGAAGGCTACAGTGGCGACGTTCTCGCCCCCTCGCCCGTGTCCAGTCGAGTGGCGGATGGCGCGCAAGGACAGAAGCCTCCTCCTCCTCAGCGACTCAGCTCTGAATCCTCTGCAGTAGCCGCCAAGGAGCCCGACGGGTGGGGGGAGGGGACGCTCCGCTGCGGGCGAGGGAGGAGGAGGAGGCGGAGGGCGAAGGCTGGGGACCGCTGAGAAGGGCGGGGGAGGAGGAGCCGGCGCAGCGTCGCGACACGTCCCTCAGCCTCTGCGGGCCAGGACCACAATACCCGGCATTCCCTGCTCTGGCCAGTTCGCGGCCTGCGCCTCCCGCCGCGCACCACACCCTCTCTGGTACAGACAATGGAACGGAACCGACCGTCCGCCGGCGGCTTTTGTAGACTCAGACACCACCTTTGAGAGAAGTCAGATCATTCTGCAGTCCCATCCCCAGGTGGCAAAGTTCGCAGTGTCTCCAACCTACAGATACCCTTCGCCACCCACTGGACTACATCTCCCAGCATGCTCCACAACTTTCACCCTCCTCCTTCCGTACCATTCTCAGACCCAGTACTACAGTTCCCAGGCTGTGTGGTCCCTATGAAATGCTGGGAGATGCAGTTCTTCGTTCTTCCTCCATGTTAAGAAAAAGTGAAAGAGGAAAAAGGAACGGAAGGAATACACCAGCCCATCGAGCAGAGGCCTAGATGGGCTAGATCACCTGTGATTCTGTATTCTTATTGCCATCTCCATTACACTGTCTCACGCCAAAACTAATGCAGCAGCTTCCTCACTGGTCTCCCTGCAAATTTGAGAACGATTCAGCAACTTGAACCCATGTGTAAAAAGGACATTTCTTTATATTTACACGTACAGCTCCATTACTTCTTAAGAATTTATCTTGAAAAGATAACAATTTAGAAAAAATGAATGCCCATGTTTGTTATATGAGGTTCTTGATTATTGGTGGAAATGTAAATATCCATCAATAATGGCTAATTATATTGTGATGCCTGCATACAATGCAGTACTAAACAGTCTTTAAAATGATGATAAAGACCTATTGACATGAAAAACTATTCACAATTTATTCTGGGAGGGAATTGATTACAGAACAAAGCATGTTTAGACAAACCATGTTTAGTACAATTTCTGTGAAGTTTGGGACAAAATAAGGATGGAGAAATTTTGGAAAAGAAATTTTCACTGATTATGGGCGGTCATATTCAAGTTATTTTTATTTTCACATTGCCCGAATTGTCTAAAAGGAACACTTTTTTAAGCTGTAAAACTATTTCCAAAAAATATATAATTTCCAAATCCAATGACTTCCCCTTCCTGCCTAGAACCCTTCCAAGGATCTCCATTCTCTCCGGGGAGTGCTTCAAGACTATGTGTGAATTTTTTGTGAATTCAGCAGATCCATTAGTAAAACAATGGTGATCACTTCCAATTCATAAAAGAACATTAAATTAGCAGGAGGAATTGTCTCAGTTTTCAATGCCTGTTCTCAAAATTTTCTTTTTCTGGTTTTTTCACACCCATTTTTTTCCTTTTCTACTACTCATTCTTCAAACGCAAGCCAAACTCCTGCCTTCCCTAGAGCTTATTTTAAGCACACTGATTTTCCTTACATTTCAATTCCTACAGCAATGGTTTCTAATCTGTGGACCAAATACTGTGGAGAGAAGTGAGGATAGAGGAACAGAGTTATTGTAAAGGGCCTATAAAGCTACATACCACGAAGTATTGTCTATAGGAAAAAAGTCTTGAGGGCCGGGGATTTAGCTCAGTGGTTTTGCCACCTGCTGTGCAAGTGCAAGGACACGAGTTTGATCCCCTGTACCCCCCCAAAAAAAGTCTTGAGATAAGATGTGTTGTGTCCAAGTAACAACTCCTCACAAGAAATGTAATTGTGATTTTCTGCAAACATGTACTAATAAAATTTTGAAAAAGAAAAAAAAGACTCATTTTAAATTTGTTTTCCTTCTGACACCTGTGTCTCATCCTCTTCTAGAATATGAAATATGGTATGTGATTTCTGATTGAAGATAAATCATGTATTCAATTACAATATTTTCAATGTCATATAGCATTATTCCCTGGTGTTCTGTAAAAGACACATTTGAGCTCCACCACTTAGCCCACTGGAGAACTGCAGGCCGACACTGTAGGAGAAAGCACACATTGCTTACTCAGAAGACAACTTATTTCACAGACTTGCTGCAGACCCTCTCTTTAGCTTCACCCCAGCCCACTCTGGTTACTCTACTATGCCTCAGGACTCACTTTTCCCAGGTACTGTACATCAGCCACTGCTCATCTACTTTTTCATCCTATTCTCCAGGCCCCTGTGCTCCGTATGATTGGTTCCTTGCTCTCTTAGTGATACATTGCCCCTTCTAAACCCTGTCTTTGATTCTTTTCCTCCTCCTTTTCCCTGCTTGGTCTAGTAGTAGAAAGTAGGGGCTGTGTAGTCAAAATTAGAAGTGTTTTCATCTATCTAGCAAGTAAAGCATTATCTGAGTTAGGGGAATAAAGAAGTATGAGGAAGTTTACTGGAGTAGGAATTATAATCATGCCCTAAATTAGACCTTGCCGTGAGGATAAGTGACCTTCAGTAAGACCTTTAACTTTTCTAAACCTCAGTTTCTGTATCTGTAAAGTGGGAGAAATGATTCCTGCCCTGCTACCTCATAAAGTTACTAAGAAAATCCAGTAAAATGATGGATATAATTTTTTTGTTTGTTTTTTGTTTTTGGTACTGGGGATCAAACTCGGGTCCTTGAGCTTACGGGGCAGGCAGCAGAACCACTAAGCTAAATCCCCAGCCTGATATAAGTGTTTCAAAGTGTATAAAGTACAGTCCAATCCTTTCATCTAATTTGAGAATTTTCCAAATTGTCGCCAAGTTGTGATATGTAACTTCTGACGATTACATCAATATTAAATTATGAAAGTTGTTTTGTTTTGTTTTGTTTTGTTTTGAGACAAGGTCTCACTATGCAGTTCAAGCTGGCCTCAAACTCACTATGTAGCCAGGCTGGCCTCAAACTCACAGCAGTCATCCTGCCTCAGTCTCCCAAATGCTGGGTTTATAGGCATGTGCCACCATGCCCAGCTTATGAAAGTTTTTAAGGAATTAACTCCATTCAGCCAATTTAACTCCTTCATAAATGTTCTATATTTCTAACTGTGCCAAGTTAATCAATTTCTAAATTTTCTAGATTTTTTTTCTACATTAAATCTTCACCAAGATATATTCTTTAACAATTTCATAAGAAAGATTTGATTCAACGAGCAGGTCTCTTTCATCTTTATTAATTTTTGCTGATTATTGCTTTAGTCATTAGGAAATTTCTTTGTTAGTAGATATTTTCACCAATCTACCTTTTCCTCCAAGCAATTTGGGCTACTGTTGCTTTTATTTTGTGTTGATTATTCGTACTGAGTGGAATTTTCCCAAGGGCCAACTTTGCAGTGTTCAGTGTTAACCAACAAAGATGGGATCATTCAGTTTGCTTTTCCATCCATAATAACAGTACCACAAGTAGCTTTAGTCATTTTCAGTTTTATTTTGTCTTGATTATTTCTACTATATTTAATCTTTTTCTGCAATCCCATCAAAACAAACTCAGAGTCAAAATGACTGTTCAAACACTATGCTTTGCCTTTTACTATCTGATTAACTTGTACTTTGTAATAATTTTTTGCCAGCAATATTAATGAGCTTTTCTTTGCACTATCTGCAAAACATCTTTTGGGAAGTCTTGGCATATGTGTGGGCTTTACCTTAAGAACTGTTCTGCAATCACAGGAAAAATAGACAATAGAGATTATGTTAGGAAAATTGATCTTTATCAATGAGTCAGGTGCTTTGCTCATGTCTAATTGATTATCTCATTAAATCTTTCAGACTAAAAGACTAAATTTTCCTTCATGTGCCTATTTATTAGTAGAAGAAATTGAGACAAAGACAGAGAAAAAAGAAGACACTGGGTCTGGGGATTTAGCTCAGTGGTTCCAACGCAGGCTGCGCAAGCACAAGGTCCCAAGTTCGATCCCCAGTACCAAAAAAGAAAAAGAAGACACTGGCCAAGGTAGGATTAAAACCAACCCTTGGTTTAATTCTCAGTTAGTGCAATTTCAATAATTATAACTTCCAAAGTTATTTCATTTAATTTATAAACTTTTGCAATTATCTTGTTGAAAAATTAAAAATAATTTTTTAGCTTAGCCAACAATTAAAACAAGAGAAATCACATGAAAATAAAGAAAGTACTCTCAAAGAGCTTTTTGAAACAAGAAGTGTGAAAATGTTTTGTAAATGGCCCAACATTGGACAAATGGAACTTACTGCCATTTGTGTTAAAGGCTGTTACATAAATCTGCTATGCCAACTTGCTGGAGTGTTACAGAGCTAGTAACACACTGTTAACATTTGGTACATGAGTACCAAATGCCCATCCTAATATTTAATTTTAATAGCCAATATTAAAGGAATAAAATGATGTCCTTTACTCTCCTGACCCGTGGCTAGGTTAGGAGTCTGCTCTGGATTCCCACATCCCTTCTCACATCTTGTGTTCACTATTTGTATACCATCCGCACGGATAAGGACGAGGCGGTCTGTTTATTCTTATAGCCCAGAACTCAATTCAGCTGAGGACTTCTTGCAGAGTTCCGTAAATGGTGGTTGAATTAATGAATGAATCACTCAATTAACAAGTATATAGACGATCAATTAGAACGCAAGGGAAAATACACATTAAGTGAAGTTAAAGTCAAAAGTAAATCACAAATGAATCGTCATGAATCAGTTGGCTGTAGCAACTGCAGCTCTTGCATGGCAGCAGCAGGTCAAGAGAAGAGCCTTCATGTTCTGGCCACTTCCTGGCTGGGTGTCATCGGTCAAGCCATTTCTGCCCATGCACTCATCTTCACATCTGTAAATGGCCAGCACTGCAGACCTCACAGTGCAGATAAACAGTTAACTAATGAGGGCTGGGGATTTAGCTCAGTGGTTCTGCCACCTGCCTCGAAAACATAAGGTCCTGAGTTTGATCCCCGGTTTGTGTCTGTGACAGTAATTGTTTTTGGTGGTGGTGGTGGTATTGGAGATTGAACCCAGGGCTTTTGGACTAAGCTACATTTGCAGCTTTTTTTTTTTAAATTGTACCGGGGATCAAACTCCAGACCTTGCACTTTGTAA